TTGATTCTTCGTCTTCTTCTTTGATATCCTCTAAATATATTTTTTTTATTTATTGAATTAAAAATTCTTATCCAATTTAAATGTTAGAAAAACACCTTTATTTGACTAATTGTTCCTTTATATACAACTATAAGCAATTTAGAAAATCAGGAATATTTATATTAGCTTAATTAATCCCTGTATCATCTACTCTTTTAATTAGCTTAGTTTCTATTCCTACCAAGTACAAATGAAAATTTTCATCCTCCTTTTAATATAAATTATCTTCTGTCAATTATTATAACTCAAATTTCTTTATAAATTCTAAAATATAACATTAAAGTCTTTCTTAGAATTTAGTTTAAGTTTCTATTTCATACTTTTAAATTTAATCAAGCTTTTCAGACAAAAGAACAACTTCTGCAAATAATTTTTATAATAGCTCCATCTCATATTGAAGTTTTAATTTTTTTAACTTTACTACCTTAATCATGAACGTTAAATTAGTTCTATAGTTATCGTTACTGCAAAATTTAAATTTCTTACTCAATTAATTAACTCTACCTATTTCTCTATTTCCACTTTATCTTTCAATTTACAAATTCAACTCAATTTATTCAGTATCATTACTTTTTTCATTGGCAACCTGTCTTATTTGTTCTTGAATTATCGATATTTGCTATTCCTTCTAAGTTATTTTGGGATCGCTTAATATGGTTTTTAAATTCACTAGTTCTTCATTAATTAACATTTTGACAATTTGCTTGTCTGTTTAACCAAAAGTTTCCATTGTTTTGATCACTGCTTCTGTTTGTGTGATTAATAAATTCCAATTTCCAATCGGTTAACCTTTAGTTATAACTTCAAGTTTTCTTAATTGAGACAAAAAATTAACATATTTTTCTTTTTCCAATCTCAATTCTTAGAAATTAAATTTATCATCCATCACTGTTTTTAATGATTCCTCAACTTTTAGATCTTCAACAATTTTCCAAATTGTTTCCATTAACAATTCGGAAGGAGTTTCTTTGAAAAAGAATTCTTCAAATTCCTTCTCTATTAACTCTAAGTCTTTTCTTTCTTATTCAATCAGTTTTTCATTTACACATTATTGAAACATGACATATGTTAATATTCCTTTTTATTTCGATAACCTGTGTTCAAAGTCTTCTCTTGTGATTTCAATATTTTGTAATTCACTATGTATTAATGAGGTAAAATTAGTGTTTTCTCTCATAATTCTTTATGGAAAATCTTTGACAACATTTAGTAGAAACTCATCAAGATTTATATCTTCTGACAGCCTTCCCAATTCTTCTGGTTTTGCTTTTTCAAATATAAATGAAAAAGACCTCTTTGAATCAATCAATTTTAATTTTAGCTTCAGATTGTTGTACCTTAAGTTTTCGAGACATTTAAGTAAATGCATATTGGCAAAGGATTATTTAATTGTTTTAAGACTCAAAATTTTTGGAACTGTCTCAATTTAATACATAATGATCATGATCTCCTTAAGATGTAAATTTATATAAGAACATTTTTCTTAAAGTTCATTGCACTTGCTTTCATAAAATAAATATAAATTATTGACTAAATTCTAAAAATATTGTAATAAGTTATTTTGAATTAAATCTGTTTCTAGCCTTTAAATTTCTTTCTGATAAATGCCAATCAACTTTTCAGCTTTTCTTCGAATTTTGCTTCGATTTTGAGGGGTTATTGGTAAATCAAGAAATGAAAATTTGTATTCTTTAAAATCAATATTTTTGAGTTCTTCCAAAATTGATTTACTTTACTCCTAAATTATATCGTTGTCGTCAATTACATTTTGATTTTGTGATTAATTTCTTTAATCTTAAATGACATATAATTTTAAGATCTCTTCTACTCTTTAAAATTTATCAAGTTTCTCAAAATTGTGTTTTTCATTGCTCTTTTTCTAATTGCTCTAATTAAGCCTCATAATTTTAATAACATCCTAAATGTTATAGAAATAGTCCTTTAATTTTTGTATAATTTTTTTTATTTATTGAAGAGAAATTTTTAATGTTGTGCTTTCATTATATTACTTTCCTTTAGTAAAATTTCTAGAAATTTTTATGACTTCTTCCAAGTTTTCATCATTTTATTTAGTTAAATTTAATAACTTATTGGAAATCAGAAAACCTAAAAACCTTTAAATATTATGAATTGCCAATATAGTTTCATTTTGTTAGAGTTCTTTTCCTTCAATTTCTAATTTTGTTTTTAAATATGATCCAAATGTAAAAGGGATATTTTGATATTGTTCATTTATGAAAAAATCTTTTAGCAATAAAAATATTTCCCATTCTTTGAAATTAGATTCTAATATTGCTCTGTCCATTTTACTTAATTAAGTACTTTAGAGATAATTTAGTTAGATGACAGCTTAGTCATTACTATGATTCATTTAAATAAGGAATCCTTTTCTCTAATATTCCTTCCAA